TTATATATTAGGGTCTTTAATTAAATTAGTAAACCTAAGGGCTTTTTCATAAATTTTTAAAGTTTACCTCGTAATACTCTCCTATCCAACAACCCAATACTATCCCCAAAATCCTATTCAAAATAATAAACCAAACGCACCCTAAGGTACTCTATTTATTATTATAATAGTAATAATAGTAATAAGTTAAACTTCAAATCCAAGATGTTAAATTAAGCTTAATAAAACTATTAATTATTTTTTACTATTGTTGGATCACTCGTTTGGATCTGATTGTTGACCTTTTTTTTTTCCTACTTTTTATGAGTAATACTACACATATATAATATTTTTATACAACATGATTTGTCACATTATGTTATATAAGAAATGTTGTATAAAAATATTGTATGTGTAGTATTGTGCAAAAATATAGTATTATGCAATTTTTATTAGCCATACGTGATTATTATTCAATTTATGAATTTGATTATAATGGTTTATATATTATATTGTATTTAATTACACAAATAACTATTTTTTTCTTTTTCTAAAATGGATTTGTATGATATTGATATCTCGATTATATTTGATCTACAAACATATTAATTATAAATTAAAAAAGGAAAATTAGAAAAAGAAAAAAGAAAAAAGAATGTGCATACATCAAACAATCAACTTTTCAGTAAACCATCACTTGGTAGCCTAATGATAAAAAAAACAAAAGTAAGCTTCATGAGCTATTGAGTTTGATTCCCCACAAACTCTAATAGGGTGGCTTCTAAGGAATTTTTCTGGTTGTCAATTTCAGGGTCCCGAAGATTAGTTGAGGTGTGCGCAAACTAGTCTGGATATTCTCGATCATAACAAAAATAAAAATAAAAATAAATCAATATAATGCATGTGGGATTAGGTAAGATGTATAAGAGACCAGGGAGCCGTAAAGGGGGGGCAATAATTGATTAAAAAAAAATCCATAAGAAGGAAGACAAGAGCATGGGAAATAGTCGAAACGGTGTAGTAAGGTTAGGTTAAATGTCATTCCATTATTGCATCTCCATGCACGTTGTCTCCTCTAAGTCCTCTTTGTCTTTTCATTTCGTTTTCTAGGGTTTTCGCAAAACTCCATGCCCAAGAAGCCAAGAAAGAATCACTGGAATTCATTTGTATGAATAATTTGGTCAGAATTTGTGGGGTTTTTGGGAAACAAATCACATTGGTTGAAGATTAGAATCCGAAGTTGTTGATAGAGTTTTAACAATTTGAGAGTGTGGAAAATTAGGGTTTGGTTGGGTCCATGCGAAATTGTATATAATATCATTTGGGGTTTGCCAATGTCTAGTTCTTATCAATGGAATATGCCAATTATCTAATCAATAAAAGGAGAAAAAAAACAAAAAAAAAGTTGATTATTTTAACATGCATTATGATAATTTGTTTTTATCATATTTTATCGATCGAAGAAAATTCTACGACTATAAATCACATTTTGTAAACAAGAGTTTATTCTTATAACATTGATTCATAGATGACGATTAATATGTTTGAGTAGATTCAATTTCTTTCTACTATAGAAATTTGGAGATGATATTTATTAAAATATTAAACCCATTTTCAAATTGAACCCATAATTTAAATTTTAAAATTTAAATCACTCAAATTAATTTCATGAAAAATTATTCAATTTGTAAACCATTACTGAGTTGTTTGATGGTAAGAGAGCAAAAAAAGATTAACAATGAGCTCTTGAGTTCGAGTCTCCCTAAGCAAAAATAGTCAGTGGTGATTGGGACTCTTACCCTTGGTCGACAATTTCAAGACCTCGAGTGATTAGTTGAGATGCATGTAAATAGGTCTAGACCCCCTCGATGATAAACGAATTAAGGATTGACATTTTTTTAATTAATAATTAATGAGAAAATCATTTCTAATATTACATTTGATTTATTTTTTTTAATTATGGATGGTGGAGAATAATTTCAACGACTTAATAGAATTCTAAATTTTATCTTTTTCAATCATTATTTGACCAAATTAACATCCTTTTCTATTGCAAAATTTAAGTCACATCCTAGTTTCCTAGTTTGGGTCAAATATATTATATTTAATTACGTTTAAGTAATAAGGTAAAACTTTGCCCTCTAATTAATTATTTTATGGTCAAATTGAATTTTCCACCACATTATGGTAAGCCTTACATATTAATTAGATCTTTGATAATTGTAAATTGACTAGATATGTAACTATATGATATTATTTTCACATTTTCATTTTTGGCTTATATAGTGACACATTATTTTTGGAGCAATTATAAATAACCATATATTCATGAACTTAATATATGGTCAAATTACATATATAAATATGATCTAAATCACATAATTGGACCTACATAGTACATACAATTAAAGGTAATAAAATTGGACTTAATGATTAGGATTGGAGACATGATTTGAAATTATATAGGGAACTAAAACTATATAAATTCATATAACTATAATATGAAAATTAAATAATTTTTTTCTTATATATTTTTATTCAAAATTTCATGTGTAGAAGGTGGTAATTAATAATATAAAAACAAATTTTATAGTTTTGAATATATATATTTGAAGTTTTATTTTTTTAGTGTTTGTTATTTGTTAATGGTTAATTATAAAAAGAATTTGTTTTAAGTTTCATTATTTAAATATTTTTATTTTAAAAAATACCAACCAATTACCCTCAAAATTTTGATTTTATTTAGCTTAGTTGGAGGTGATGTTATCCACTACTAATACAAATGATTATTAATTAAAGAGGATTTAACGTTTATTTTGTCTTATTGTAATTTGTTTTGGCATTTTCTTGAGAAAGGGGAACATTGATAGATTTTCTTGGATACTTATGGCCTACATAATATTATCACTCTTAAGGTATATTTCTTTTAGTTTAATGTTATTTATTTAATTGAATAATATTATTTTTCCATTTACTTAATTCTAAAATTATTCTTTTAAAAAAATATTTCACAAAATGAAAGTTATATTAAAATTACTTTAAACTCTCCTGAGATTTGGATAATTACGTGTACATCCCTCCAATCATTTGAAAATGAAAGGGCACCGCCTGGTACCATATGTAACATCTTTGTTTCTCAAATAAAGGTAAATTTTTAGTCTTAAGATAAATAAGTTAGGCATTACCTTTTAGTGCTAGAAGTTTAACTTAATAATTATCATATCTTATTTATGGAAATAATCAAATCTTCTAACTAAAATTTCTAATCAAAGCTAAACATTCACCCACCAAATTGGTTCATCTTAATCATATCTTTGATTTAACATTTTCATTTTTATGATCTCAATCAACCCAAGCTCCAATTTTTACACATTAAATTATTTATACCTGAAATTGTAAAATGAATTTACAAATTTAAATCAAACCTTTTTTGACTATGATACGAACAAGATTTCATCTTTAACAGTTCTTGTACAAATGCTTATTGGGCCAGACTCCATTTAATTGGATTTCTACTTGTACGGACCCTAGTAGTTACTTTTTAACCGAGCCCAATTCAGGACGGATAAAACGGAAGTGGCCTTTTGCCCCCACATAATGTTTCAGTATTAAATTAATCCGGTTCCGGTCACATAATGTATCAGAAAATTAATCAAGCGAAGGAAACTGGAACCCTTTTTTGAAAATGATATGACTACCGCACTTCTATAATCTGTTATTGTATTAACAATACTTTGTGACGTGGATGAATTTCTGGAGAGGGCCAAGCATTATAAGCTAAAATGTGGAGATGTCAACTTAAAATAGTTATAACGTTTAATTCGTGATTAGTTACGAGGTCCATAAGATATCAACGAAAAACTCATTTCGAGCCCGACGACATGGCAACCTGGTTGGGAGTTGTTTTCAGACCCAAAATCTACCGTTTCAATGTATTTCGGGGCCGTTTAAATTTTCTATGCATTTTTCTTATTTTATTTAGAATCATTTCTTATTTTATAATTAATCAACAGTTAGGGATGTGTTTGGTTGAGTATTTAGAATAGTATTTTTGAAAAAGTTGAATTGAGTTGTTATTACAAGAATAAAATTTGAATTTGAAAATGTGTTTGGTAAATTTTTGGAAAACATTTTCTGAAAATATTTAAATTATTTTTTAATCCTCTATATTTGTTAATTTAACTAAACACTCCCTACAATAAAATATTGCGAATTAACAAAAACACCCAGAGGGTGGCCGGAACTCGTCAATCTGACCGGAAACCATGGATCTAGTAAGAAAAGGCTAGATCGACGCACGACCACCACATCCAGCCAATCGTGCGCTATTCCGATAGATTTCGACCACCTTTCCACGGTGGTGGTCGACTGCCGGGATTATGTGGGTAGGTAAAAATGTTTTTGTCAATTTATAAACTTATATTATTATGAGTGTTTAGTTAAATTAACAAACCAAAGAGGTTGAAAAAAGCTAAATATTTTGAGTTGAATATAATAAGATTGAATTTTAAGAATATTGAAACAAATATATATTTTCAGTAGGATTAGATAAGATAGGGTTGGAAATATTGAAACAAACACAGCCTAGGATTTCCTTCTTAATTAATTTGGATTTTATTTTCTTGTTTATTAGGAGTCTTGATATGATTAACTGTCACCACCCTATATAAACATATTATTCGTTTCTTTGAATATATATAATGATTATTCAGAATTTCCTTCAAACTTTACGACTTAAATTTTTGTGATTGAGACTTATTTATTAACCCTATAGGCATAATCGTCTACTAACCTTGTTTTTACGCTAACTCGTTGTGTCACATTCTTTCGTGAAATTATTGATAAATTTATTATAAACTCCGATCATAATTGCACATAAAATTCAAATGTACATTTCATTTTGGAACTACTTCTAAGTAACAACTTTCTGAAATTTAGAAAAATATGAAAGATCGCAGCAGCACTGAGCCTCGAAAAAGCTACCCAGGCAGGAGAATGGTTAACACTCAATGGCAACCAAATGGGCAAAAATAATTTCTTTAGAAGTAAATAATGTTCTCTCTCAATAAACAATCTAGGGTATGTACAAAGTGAACCTAGAGCATATAGTATAAACTTGAAAAGGCTCACATTCAGTTAAAGAAGCTTACGGATTCATAATCGGTAATAGCCAATCTTGTTCTTTGCAATTTCAAATCTCACCAGTTCCAAGCGGCTGCCTCGAGCTATTGCCTGTAGCCCATGCTTGATAGTCTTTTACGAGCTAAAATGACAATGAATGAAAAATGCATCAGGATAAAACACATTTGCTACAAATAATTAAATAAATAATTTCTACACCTCTTCTGGCTTAGTTCAACTTTATATTGGCTGGTCAACCCGGATAGATAAATCTTACATTTACTCAAGAAGTTTTCAAAATTTTCCCAATCTGAAAATCTCTGTGTATGTGAAAGCTTCAAGTAATATGATGATTTTTAAGGAGTAAAATGAACCAATAATGAGAGCATTTACTCACAGTTTCACATGATAGTTTTGCTCAGAATTTCTGGTCCTATTTTCCCAAATCTATTAAAAATAAAAATGCATCATCTCATCTACTTGGAAATTTAGCTAACACACACGATAAAATCGAGAACATATGATGAATATAACTGAAATTCATATTACTAGAGAAGTTACTAGAAAGCATTCTGTTTAACTTTTGATTCAGTTAAAACAAAATGCAGCAACTGTTTGCACAAACCTGAGCCATAAAGCGAGGAAGCATTAGTTTAAGTATTTGCTCTAGGACTTGTGTCCCAGTTGATTCTATCGTTTCCACTGGAAGTGCTCTAAATGCAAAAGGGATCTCAATGCTAACCTAAATCAGAGATAACAAAGCCAAAAATTTTGTTCAGAACATATGGTCATTTTACTAATTGTTATGGTACAACTAACACAGATCAAAATGCAAGCTCTAGCTGTACCTCAATAATTGCATCTGAAGTTAGTTGTTGTATTGCTGAGTTGCTGTTGCTGCTATCACATGATATTCTGTTTACCATAGAAGCTGAATTGCCGCACCAAGTTAAGAGTAAAAGTAGTCATAAAAAGCCTTGCGTTATAAATTAAGAATTTAAAGACTCAACCCAATCATGGTTTTGTTCCAAAAAAGAAACTCAGTTATATTGTGATTTTGCAGTGCTACAAAAGAAAATGAATCTACAAAAGAAAATGAATGCCATTGATCACATACGACCAGGATACACCTCCTATATTTTCTGTCCAGTAAAAAGCTACAGTAATCATGAAACTGAAGTGTCATCTAGACCAAAGCTGGAGCTAATCATATGAATTAAACGGCTACTGAACAGGACCAGTCTCAACTAATTTGAATAATATTCATTCTGAAGATTGCATTGTGGTAGTTAAACCCTTCTAATACTACAAGACTTTCCAGCTATGAATGATTCCTATTCTTTTTAAGAAAGCTATGGCTACAAAACTAATTCGTGCAAACAGAAAACTCCTAACCAACTTGTTTCTGCCAAAAGCAATATAGGGAAGTTACATATATGAAGAATTTCCCAAATTGAAGAAACAGATCAAAATTGGTATAACTTTTGAATTAACTTAACACAATCAAATTCATATTTCCAGTCAAATATAACAATATATCAAATAATATCCAGATAACAACCAATTTCAATCATCGTGTCAAAATCATCTCATCAAAGAATTTCAAGTTACATTTTTGTAAGTTCTTATATGACTATATCTATTAGTTATCATAACACCTACAAAATGAAGGCACTAAAAGTATTCCACTTGATCCATTTAAGATGTAAAATCCATGTTTTGCTTACCATCAAACTTGTCATTCTGCGCTACCACAATTGGTGAGCCCTCAAGCTGGCAACAATCCAACAGAAAAACATCATGAGATGATATCCAAATAACTACACACAAGACCCTCAATGTACTATGTTTAAACTAAATTATCTTCAATGTATAAATAGAATACAGCTCACTTATGACATAAAGACTCTTGTTGTCAATACAATTGACTTGAAACTGAACCCCTCTCATCTCAAAGGAAGGGGCCGCAGTGATAAAATGGAAAACAGCCACCTCCCATTGTGTAGCACATAATCGCAATGAGCCTCCAGTTAAAATTCTAATTTACATTTTTGGATAAAATTATCAACTTCCCTTACAATCTTAATTCACATCAAAAACATATCCTCTCCTAGCCATTAGTTGCCATTAGCACTGCTAGTTAAAATTTCATCATAAAACTCCCAGCAGTTGACCTTTCTTAAGGAGGTGTATGCAAAAGATGATTAACGAAAACAACATGTCAAGTCAAGCCTGAATTTTTTTCGCAGACAAAAAGCAACAGAAACTAGAGAAAGCAGTACAAAATTATAAGAGTAAGCGAGGTGCACACACGAACCTTGCAGGACAAGAGCTTAATGCAGCAACCGTTGGGCTGCTCTTCAACTCTAACAAGCAAAACTGGACAAACTTCAAACGCAAAGAACTTGAGCCTATACACATAACATCTGAAAGTATTATCATCCACTCTCTCTATCCTCTCCGCATCCAACACCGAGTACTGACTCGCCGGCAAGCTCATATACTCCACTGCATCCCACCCATCAAAATACATATATGTTCATTAAAAAACACTTAAATAAAATTCCATTCTGCCCCTCAAAAGTTCAATTCAACAACAAACAGATCCCTGGTTGACTAGTTCATTGGACTAAATTGCCAAATTCAGCAGTGATCTTTTCATTACATTATATCATTGAATGAGTTCTAAGTGTTGCATTACTATTAGAAAAAATATGAAGTACATCCTTTTTGAAGTTTGAAAATGAATTATAATTCATAAATCTCCTATAATTGCTAGCTGCTAAGGTTTTTCTTTGACTATTTAGTAAATCCAAGGGACTTTCTATCATTCATTCAACAACTAGTGAGTGAAATAAAATTTACCAACAAAACAACATTCCATAAACAAAACAATAACTCATGAACTCCAAATTGCTAACATTACTTAGAGGCCGCTGGAGCTGGCGAACCGTAACGGACTCTTTGCGCCGGGCAATGAAACGAGCTTTGGAGTTTGAGATGGCGGCCGAAACGCGAAAGGGGGACCTTTTGTGGTGGTCGTAGAGCAGAACGGTTTTGAAGCTAAGAGAGTTTGAAGTTGTAGGGGTCTTATTGCAAGGAAATGAAACTGGTCGTAACCTTATACAAGGTGAAGAAGAGCTCAGTACCGCCATTTAAATTTGTTTTCAAAGCGTTTCTGTTGGCTTCAGTTTTTTATTTTTCTGTTCTCTTATCCGAAAGCATAACAAAACAAGCTGGCATGGTTGTTGGCTCGTTGCAAGAGAAGCCACGGGAGAGATAAAACTTCAGTGTTAAAAGGCCTGAATTGGGCCGTTTCCGCTTCGCCCATTAACAATATCAGCTGGGCCAACTTATCGGGCTAAAAGTCCTATGGTTTAGCCCATAAAGGTAGAGACAGAGCAGCCCGGCCCAATTTGGGCTTTTTGGAGATCTTGGGCTCTAATCAAAGGGAAATTGGGCCCCTATTGACTTTTAGCCATCTTATTGATCAATATCCCCACTTCTAATTTTTTTTTTTTTTTTTTTTTTTTTTTGGTTTTAACAAATTTTAACCTTAATAACATTTTAACTTCAATTTTTACATAAATACTAACTCTACATCTTCAAACATTTTTTTAATTTAAAAAATTTATTTATTTGATAAAAATATATTATTAAAGTTATAGAAAAAATACATTTGAAATTGAGAAAAAGGAAGATAAACAAAGTACCTATTTAAGAAATTTGGGAACAACTTTGTAAACAAAAACCTCTAATTAAGTTTGAAACTGGGAAAAAGAGGTATAAACAAAAACCCTAATTAAACATAATCAAGCAAGGTTATTTTCGGTATTAAATGGGGTTTAAAAAATAAAATAAAATATGATAGAGTTGTATTAACTTAAGCAATGCGGAAACTAATCAACTTGATAGGGCTAAAAATCACTTACCTTTTTAAAATAGTTTTTATCATGAACCCTTTCATTATTTTCTATTTCGGATGCTTTTATTTTTAAATGAAATTTAGAAAGTATGAAAAAAAAAAAAAACCCTTTTTCTAACCGTTCTTTTAATAAATATAAGAAGAGTTTTTATTATAAATTTCAATAATGCTACAGACATCGATTAATCTCACCGAATTGTTGTACTGACTTACATGACATTCGAGCTAGACGCTGCTACGTTGGACACTATAACACGTCTTCCATGAATGAACGATTGTCTAACAATTATGGATGTTCGTCCATATTTGATGGATGGCCACACATTACAAATGGACGGCCATCCACCAATCTGGACAAAATTTTGAACAAAAATAACAATGGACTCCGTTCATATTATATGGAGGGGAATTAATTTCCTATGGATGGACGTCCACCTTGAATGGACGCCTATCTATAATGACTTGCAGTATTTTTAAAATGGGGAGGAATGGTTTTTTAAAAGAATAAGAATGTCCATCCATAATATATGGACGGGTAGCCATTTTTAATGGACAACCATCCATTGACCAGCAACAAATTTTTTTTTTTTTTAATTTCAATTCATAGGGTTTAAAAATTTGTGATCCTAAAAAAAGTTTTAAAACACAAAATAAGCGATAAATAAATGGATGGCCGTCCATTTTCCTGGGATTATTGAAAGAAAATAGCTACATCCAACTCCAAGTTCTTCATCGGAAAATAACTGCATCTGCTGTTCTTTACTTCTTCGTCTTCGTTCCTCATCTGTCGTTCTTCTTCTTCATTGAAGTCATTTGCCGTGCTTCTCGTAAGTATTATGTTTATTATGTTTTTGTTCATCATGTGAATTTTGTGTTTTTATTGGTTTTGATTGATGATTTCACTTGATTGAGCTATATGGTGGGTAGATTAATTTATGTCAGCTTCAAATGTTAATTTGCATATTAATTTCAAACACTTGTTTGGTGTATTCTCACTAGAAGATGAGTAAGATTCGAATGCAGATCTGATAATTGATTAGGTGGGATTTTCTGAAATCTATTATGAAAATGAACTAGTTTGTTTATATATGTTACATATGTGAGTACCCAATTCAACACAAGTGAAAATAAAAGAAAACCTCAAGGGGTTAAATGGGATATTTAGTACTTGATTATCTTCACCTGCTTAGGATTTGATCCTATCAGCCACAAATTTGGCACATCAAACCACCAAAACACTTAACTGCATTGTAAGTGACCTATCTGATACTCTGTTCATAACAAATTCCAAGATCGACATGATATATGTTAAAATTTTAATGAAGCTCTTGTTTTTCAAAGCCATTAATTTTTGCAAATTTTGGCTACATAAATAGAAATTGAATTTGATACTATTTTCATATGTTGACAGTATTGGATTTCAAACACTCATATTTCTATAGACTGAAAGTAAATGAATATTTGAAACAAACTTTTTTTTCAACTAGTTCAAGTTCAATTTCTACCTGTATCACTTGACTTAAAATTTCCTCACCAATTAGTTTTCTGTTTCCTCCTACTGTAGGTATGTTTATGAATTAGTAGCACTTAAAATAGTTTAGGCTCATGTACTAGTTGTTTTTTCTATTTATATTCACTGATTTGTGTTGTATGCACTAATTTATTTTCAATGTATTGTACGCATTGATTATGATGATGATTTTTTTATATATACAGGTTTTAGAAGAAAATAGAAAATGGTAAGAGCAAAGAATACAACAATTCCTCATGGAGGCACATCATTATCTAGAGTCTAATTTCGAGACTTACAACATAAAAGACAATACAAGGAGATGGCGAAAATAGATGTTTGCCTTGGAAGAAGTTTGGATTTATAATTTGTAACAAGTTTGGGTTTACTTGATGAAATTAATGATTGGATTGGTAATTTGAAATGAGAAAAAGTGGTGAGTATTAGGTATGATGGATATAAACATTTGATTTATAAGTTTTTTAGTAGTTTGGAAGTTGTGGAGACGGATACTGATGATTTTTCGGCCTATATAATATTTTTTAGATTAAAGAATTAGAATTTTGTAGTGAGACTGCAAGAGTTAGCAACCTGGATAGGATTTTATTTTGAAGGTATGGATAACGTATCCAAAACGTGGGATTCTAAACAAGCTTGGATGGATGTTTATGGAATAGGAATTTACCATCTATATATGTGTAAATCTACAAAGTTAAAGAATCTTGTTATGAAAGTATTTTACAGATTTCTGATTTTCATATTTAATGGTAGGAAAGAGACAAATGTAAATGTGACAATTAATGATTTATTGTTCATGGAAGCAGCAATAACAGGTAGGCAAGTCAATTCAGCAAAGTTATTGATTAAGAAGTTGGGAGAGATTCAAGCAGAAAAAGGAGAAATATATTGAGGGATGCTTGCTATGTTAATATGTGAGAAGTTGGGTTTTCAAATCACCTTTATTGATGAAGCAAATAAGATTAAGTTTTCTGCAAATAATTTGTTGAGGGAAGTCACATTGTGTAAAATGGGTTTGATTAGAAAAGATATGGCAGGAGAATGGTTTGTGATTAGGGATGAAATAGAGGAAGATGCAACGGTTCAGGAAGGTGTCCTTGTTCTAAAAGGGGTAAATAAAAAACGAGTCTATGTGAGCAAAAAAAGAAGAACGAATATTGAACCTGAATTTTCTCAAAATGTACAAAAAATGTCCTCTCATACTTTAGACGAAATAGTAAGTAGATTTGAGCGGATCGAAAGGTTTTAAGAGGAGAATTTTTCACGTATTGAGAGCAAAATGCAAGAACAACAGGATCAGTTACAAAGTAATTTTAACTTGTTCGCATAAAAAATAATAGAAATGGTTGACATGCTTGGGGAACACATGACAAAATTTTTCATAATGATTAAGAAATTCTCAATAGCCTCCTCCTCCTCCAGTCAGCCTCCGTCTCCTGCACTATGATGTATAACTAGTTGTTATTGTTGTAGTATAGTTATTTTGTTTAGCATGTGATACAGCTTGAGTCGATTTGAATGTTAATTGTCATTATGTGTGGTTCCAATACTAAACTTTATGTACGAAGATTATATTTACCTTTTGTTTGTAAATATGTTAATTGATAAAGATTGGTTTCACAATATGTTCTCAATGACAAAAATTTTCATCATGATTAATAAATTCTTAACAACCTCCTTCTCCTCTAGTCAGCCTCTGCCCCCTGCACTATGATGTATAGCTAGTTGTTATTGTTGTAGTATAGTTAATTTGTTTAGCATGTGATACAGCTTGAGTCGATTTGAATGTTAATTGTCATTATGTGTGGTTCCAATACTAAACTTTATGTACGAAGATTATATTTGCCTTTTGTTTGTAAATGTATTAATTGATAAAGATTGGTTTCACAAGATGTTCTCAATTATCTGAACTTCTCCAATTGATTTTTTTGTTGTGACAAGTTTTCATAAGCTGCCAACAATTCCATAATGAAGGAGATACTTCATTAATTATTATTCTATACATATCTCAACTACTCTTTTAAATGCATATGTTTATGTGATCCAAGACATAACAAAAGACATTTCAAAATTCAAACCTAAGAGAAAATGCATATCCAAAATTTGTCATACAACTGGTTAACAAACAGTCCAAAATGTGACAGTAATATATACTGAAAACATTCAGAATAAGTTACATTAACGTTATTATTATGAATTCACAACCCTATTATAGACATCCTACTCATACCCAACCAACAACCAAAATAATAAAAACAAAACAACTGAATCAACATACAGCTCAACTGCATTCATCAGAAATTAACCAAAGCGTAGATAATTTCTACCAAATACAATTCTATATGCTTCAACCTGTCAACAACATCAAATCTCTCCCAACAAAATATATTCATCGTTTATAGACTCCTGCCCAGTACATAAATTACTTTTTCTTGTGAGATTCTGAGCCGAACCAGTGGACAACTGTTAGTGTTTGACAACCATAATTTAGCACACATTATAGAAAACTTAAGCTAGTTACAATTATACAACATACATAACACATACATGGGTAGCAACAACATCATTTGACAACACTTGAGTTTCCAGTATACTTTCAACAATATTGACGTAATCATATTAAAGGGCATCAACCATGGAAGTAGATGAAAGAAACTATTCATTTTCTTGCTCTATTGGTGATTCTTTTCCTAAAAGGTAGCATAACACATTAATAATTAAGTCGATATTATTATAAACTTCAAATAATTAAATAATGTTTCAAAAAAAAAATATCATTTAAGAATGGGTATATAACTCATACCAATTATTTGTTTTCGTAATTTTTTATTTTTACCCCTTGGTACAATTTCTTCAACCTTCAATTGCTTTCTTCTGCATGGAGGACGACTTTTGCTGCGAACTGTCTATGGACCAATAATTAGACTATTCCCCTCTTTAGGAGAACTATAGCCATCTTTACTACTCAAACTGGTTGTGGAAGAGAGTTATTACCATACATTTTGTAATACTTTACCAAACTATCAACTGAATCAAACACTATTCCAATATGAGGCTCCACTTCTTTCTCTGCACATCCCATATCTTCTAATTCATCACATTCATTTTCTCGATTTAATGGTTTTATAATGGACAAAAATAGAATGTGCAAATATAACACATCAGAAGAAACAATACGATACATCAAATTTAAATTCATGTTATTGAAAAAGTTAAAGTTTTGAACACAATTTACCTCAACATCATTGAAATGAGGCGAACTGAACTCTTCCATATTCCGTAATTTCATGCAAAATCAATACCAGTTTTTGCATTCACGAATCTGGTTCACAATAGTCGCCAACAAATATTGTCTATCAGTTATTTTTTATTGTAACATATATTCATTCCAAAATAGAATACAAAACTAAATAAATACATAAATTAAGTAAAAAATTCTGAAGTACCTCAAAAAAGTTTGATCTCCCTTTTCACCCTAAACGATCCTCTCTATAAAAAATCAGTGGCTAGCCTGTGAAAATACTGTAAATGATTCTCTTTGTAAAAAAATGGTGGTTTTCCTATGAAAATATTAGTGACTTTCTTGTCATGGTAGTTGGTTGTTGTGGCTGTTGAGGAAGAAATCCCTAATACTGCATGGAAGACTAACAAGCTCTGGCAAGAACACGCATAAGAAAAGATGAGATGATGAAGCTGAAAGATATTAGCTTTAAAATGAAGCTACAAATAAAGTCTTGTTTTTTTTTTTTTAATTTCATCTAAAAATTTTGGCGCTTATTTGTAGAACCGTATTGGACAAGCTATATCTTTTTATTTGCATGATTGAAAAAAAAATTTAAATTTAAAAATAATAATTTATCTACCTGTATGTTCAATGGACAGTTGTCCATCTGATACGAACGACCGTCCCTTGAAAATGGTCGCCCATCCATATGATATGGATAGATGTCGATTCTTATTCTTTTAAAAAATCATACCTCCTTATTTTAAAAATACTGTAAGTCATTATGGATCGGCATCCATTCTAGGTGGACGCCCATCCATAGGAAATGGATTCTCGTCCATATAATATGGATAGGAGTCCATTGTTATTTTCGTTCAAAATTTTGTCCAGATTGGTGGACGGTCATCCATCAAATATGGACAAGCAACCATAATTGTTGGACATCTGTTCATTCACAGAAAATGTGTTATAGTGTCCAACGTAGCTGCATCTGACTCGGATGCCACGTAAGTTGGTACAACAATTTGGCGAGATTAATCGGTGTTTGTAGCATTATTGTAAAAATTTTATATAGTCAAGTTTTTTATTTTTTATAGTTTATAAAAAAATATTTAGTATGTTTTAAAATTATGGTTGTTTAACGTGTGCCTACACATTGAGATAACTTGCAAACAATAAATTTTTATTTTCATGTATTATAAATTATATTTTTTTGTTCCTGAAATATATCAAAATAAATATTTGTTTTATTTTATTTAATAATTTTAACATATACCCTTAAAAAACACTCCTAAAATTAAAGTAAATTAAAGCATATGCTAAATGGGGTATTTGACAATTAATGTTATTTGTTTGCTTCTAAAATGTACATATTGGGGTTGTATCATAAAATAAACCATTTATGTATTATTATTGAAATTAAAATTACCATTTGTAACAAAATGTTAAATTCCTCTTTTACCCATCGATGTAGTGCCATTTGCTCCAATAGAAGTTACATTGTACTGGAGTAGTCATGGTTTTATTATAATAATTTATATACTTATTTAATCATTTGTTAATTGGGATTAATGATGCCACTAAAGTGAAAACTTATAACAAGTAATTAACATGATCTTAATTATCCTTATAATTAATGTATTATCATCAAACCATCACTTATTCTATCTATCATCACCATCTCATTACAACTTCTAGTGTTAGATTACCCATCAATAAATAATCATCGTCACTATTACCAATTTAATTTCTATTATAACTTCATCATTGTGTTTTTCTTCTTCTAACTATAAAATTGTAAATTGTCCCCACATATTTCATTAACTCCTTCAAGCTAAATACATTTATTAAAGAGTAAACGACTTTTTCCCACTCAAGATTGGCCTTAGCGATGCTTTTCTACCCAAAAAGTTTCAAAATACTATTTTCCCACTCAACATTTATATTCTGTTAATACTCAACATACACTTCACTTTTTCAATTAGCGTTCAGTAAGTTACTAAGAGTCAAGGTAAGATGGTTTTAGTAGAACAAAGGTCAGTAGATCGAATAATGGTGACAAATTGAATATTCGCCGCTAGAATCAGCCGAAAATCATCTAAGAACATAAAATCTTAGCTTTATTGTGGCTGACAATCAACGAGAAATTAAGTGCCGAAGTAAAAGAGTTTTTGTATAGAGGAGACTGTAGGTTCCAATTAGGGGTGTTCGGTTCTGGGTACCCTACATTTTTTGAAGGAACCAGAACCAACAGTTCCTTGAAATTTGGAATTGGAACCGGAACCGACGGTTCCGGTTCTTAGGTACCCAGAACCGGAACCTGTAACAACGGTTTCGGTTCCGGTTTTGGGTACCCAGTAAAATTACAAGGACTCCCCCAAAAGTTTTTAAAATGGTAAAAAAGCCCTTAAAAACTTACAAATACCCCCCACCTGAAACTTGTTAACAAAAATAAATTACAAATTATAAATTCAAAATTATAAAGTCCATTACTTTGTAAAGATAGATTCTCAAAAGTCAAACTAACTTACTTTAAATGTTATGAAATATAAATATAAATGTATTCACATTACTTTTTCTATAAAAGTTTTTATTAACCCTCTACTTTTTAATTTTATTTTATATTAGTCTCAGTTCCCATTTCCGATTCCTAACTATAGGAACCGGAACTACACAGTAATGGTTTCAAAAATTTAGAACCGGAACCTACCCGTTGACGGTCAGTTCCGGGTAGGAATCAGAACCAAAACCTGGGTACCCGCCGGTTTCGATTCCAATCGGTTCTTTTGAACTCCTCTAGTTCCAATGGTGATGGCGAAAAGAATTTTCGTAGCTGGAATCGGTTTTGGGTAGTAACAAAATATTAACTTTGGATGAGATCATGGGAAAGTGGTATTTTGAAACTTTTTGGGTAGAAAAGGGTCATTAAGGCAAACTTTAGGTGGGAAAAAGTTGTTTACTCCTATTAAAAATTAATTAATTTTTAAAACAAATAAGTGATAATTAATAATAACCATCTTAAAAAAAACAAACAAAATTACATAAAGAAAGATGAATAAGAAAAGAGCACGTGTAGATGGGGAAGGAATGAAATTGTGGCGAGTGGATTAGTAGTAATTATTACGTGTGTCAAAAGATGGTGAAATAATAAAATACAAAGATGCGATTTTCACGCTCAACCCAAAACAAACCAAACAGACACTTGACTGTAAACAAGAGCCAAAATCAAAAAAATCAAAACCAAAAACATGGATACATAATAGATATTAGCAAATCCAAAACAAACAATCAACACATCACACACTCACATACACTTCACAACACAACAACGCCACGCTGCAAATCCCTAGGCCCCATTTCCATTTCGTTTCAAACCAAAAACCAAAACCAAAAAACCGAAACACAAAAACAAAAAAACGATTTCATTTTTTTTGTTAACGATTATTTAATTCAACTCTCGCATTCTCAACTTCTCGAAGCTCGATACGCCAACTTTAAACAAAGTATAAATCTCTCTCGTTCTCTCTGTTTTTATTAGTTTTCTATGTATTTATTTGGCTTTCAGTTTTGTGGCGATTTTTTTTCGGTTGTTTTGATTGATAATGTGAGGGTGTTTGTGGATTTGTTTTTGGTTTAGGAGGATTGAATGGAGTCTACGGAGTCGTCCTACGTGTCGTCGCCGGAGGAGATGGTGAGGAAGCGAACTCCGCCACCGCCGCAGTCGCTGCCTACAGGTCTCTGATCCGATCTTTGCTCTTTATTTTTATTTTGTTTTTGCGTGTAATATTGAGTGTTTTGTTTTTGAATTGTGTTGTGGTGTGAAGGTTACATTATAGATTCAAATGTTTTTTTTTTTGGAATTTGTTTTGTTTGAAATTGAAACCCTAATTTCGCATTTTATCAGAGGAGAGGAAAAGATGAGTGAGTTTTGAGTCTTAGTTTTTTTTTGGATGCTGAGAAAACTGTTTATTTATCGGTGTGTGCATGCGTGAATCTTAATTGATTTAGAATTTACAGACCGTTGTTCTATACAGTGATGTAGGCTGTATTAACTGAATTCGTGCTGTTTGTTATGTGTGGATTGTGATTGAGACTGACTAATGGGAAACCTGCCATTTATATGCTGTCTAGAGAAATTGGTTCTCGTGCAGGAAATTTTTCTTTTTCTTTTTAATATGATCTTATGTGGAAAGATTGAAAACAGTAAAATGAGATTTTTCTAGAAGCATTATGTATGCACCTCTTACTGATGATTTCGGATAATGGTCATCCATTATTTCCTGACTGTTTAGAATTTTGGGACATCATAGGTTCCAACTTCATGCATATCTTTTTGGCCCCACTATAGGTTCCCTTTTGTTTCCCCTTTTTATCCTCCCAAGGATGGTGAATAACAGGAGGAAGACCATGGACTTGTAACCAGAGGAACATGTAGCCTGGTGAGTGATGGGGCTGTAGGGGATGTCACCATCCCCAGCCCAGCATTTTTGTATTCTCCTCTTGTGTCAATTCTGGTGAATTCAGAATGGTGAGGTGAATTCAGAATGGTGAGGGTTGGTAGTTGGTGCACCAGCATTCTAGGTTTTCCATGCATGGCAACAGGTTTAATCTTAACTGACTAGAGAAAGGCAGACTCTGCTTTAGCCTGCAGAAGATGCTGGTTTTTGACATTCTGACTATGACATGTTAGGACTGATGAAATTTTAAAATGTTTGAGTCAGAGCTTTGTTTCATTTAGTCATGTATCTGTGTTTTCATGGCAGACCATTTTCTTTAAGTTGTGGATCTGCTTTAAATTGTGGTGAAAAAGATAATTTGGCTACAGAGATAATTTGGCTACAGAGATCTTTGGAAAACTTACCTAAGCTGGTCTTGTTCTATAGTGCACTGTATAATATGATTTTTTTTTTTTTTTTTTTTGGTTGAATATGATTAACTTTGAGTTCCTGTTTTCATAAACTTGTCTTCTCTTATTCATTCTATCTCCTGTATATTCTTCTTTAATCTTGTATTTCATTATTGATAAGTTAAGCAATTTTTCTATTAAATAAATTGAATATTTATGTTCCTGCACAGTAAGAATGAGCAAGTCGCATGTGTACGCAAACTAAACACGATTTCAGCTAGAAGACCAGTCATAAAACTGTAGTTGTTTTTTTATAGAATAGCCATGTAACACACAACATTCCTAATTGATTTATCACCATTTTTTATACTTCACAGAATGTTTTATATGTAGTTAAGTGCAAGTGCTGTTAATTATACTTTTTAAAAGTGAATCTGGTGCATCAAGTGTTGTTGCATTTTATGTAATGTGTAAACAATATTGAATTTGACCATATTTCTTTCGGTCATAGTTTACTTTTAATTATTTCTTACATTTTTGTTTGGTTTTCTGTTGGGACCTAAGAAGTGGATATTGCTGTTATAGTCGGAAATTGTATGACCTCCAACTTCATGTGCTCAGTGATGACATATATATGTGCAAGCTTGTTATTCTGCTTATTTATTTACACTCTTTTCTTGGTTCTGCCAGACCCTGCAGAGAAGCCAACATATATTAGGTTTCTTGTGTCAAATCCCTTAGCTGGTGCTGTCATAGGAAAAGGTGGCTCCACAATTACTGATTTCCAGTCACAATCTCGGGCAAAAATCCAGTTGTCACGCAGTCATGAATTTTTTCCTGGAACAACTGATAGGATTATTATGGTTTCTGGGACAATTGATGAAACTCTCAAGGCTGTGGAACTCATTCTTGATAAATTGCTGAGTGAGGTATTCTTTATGATGTAAGAATCACTCCATGAAATCTATTATTTTATGTTATTAATACAGGTTTTTTCTTGGTCAGATTCATGCTGAAGATGGTTACGAGGCTGGACCAAGTACAAAAGTGAGACTAATTGTTCCAAATAGCTCTTGTGGTAGCATAATTGGCAAGGGAGGAGCCATTATAAAGTATGGAGACTGCTTCTTGTATTTTGTGATTTTAAAATTGTTCAGTTGCTGTGCTTGTGAAACTCTGCTGAGAAAATAAGCATATATACTTTTATTCCTTTTGAAACTTTCTCATTTTTATTCTTTTAGATATTTGAGCTGGTTGATGTGTTTCACAAAGGACGGATGTATTGTCAGAAAAAAATTTAGTCATCTTGATTGTAAAGTTATAGTTTTTGTTGCTGATTTGGCTTGGTGTGATCTTAACAATTGCTTTGTTTCACACAAATATAAAACCAACCAATCTGAGAATCAGAGTAGTGGGTCTTCAACCCAATAACTTTAGATTTATTATCTATAAATTCTGTAGGATACCATCATTGGTGGTAAGAGTAATGATATTGTCAAAACCTAGTGAGTTTTTGTGCATACCTGGATTGTTTATTAAAAAAAAAGAAAGGAACAAAGCAAAACAAATTGCATACCACAAATCTCTATGATAATCATCAGTCCATGTTGAGTTGGCCAACTTTACCTTCAGTTACTATTTCATAGTGAAGTACGCACTTTGTAAAGGTACAAATTTTCTCACTAGAGAAGGACTATATATAATGCCATCATTAGTGTTCCAAAGAAAACCCTGAAGATTTTACCACAATCAGCCTCGTTTGCTCTTTGCCAATGTGAGATAAACCCTTGCTGATGGCTAGACCCCTTGCACCATAGCCTTCTTGGTGTGTTAGCCTATGAGCATTCACTTCAAATTCAGAGTTGTTGTTTCTTTACCATTATTGTTATTGCATCTTGTCTGTTATTTTTTCTATCGCCTCTTGTTGTTGGATTTCTAAAGTTTGAAAAATTATGTATTTCTCGGTTCCTTATTTACATATTTGCTACTATAAACAGTGGAATAAATCAATAGTCATGCATATATTCATGTATTTGCTAGCACAGCAGCAAAAAGGTCGATGCTGACATCTAGTTTTGCCCTTATGTAGGTCATTTATTGAGGACTCCCAAGCTGGCATTAAAATATCTCCTCTGGATCATAATTATTATGGGCTGAATGATAGGTTAGTGACGCTGACCGGTCATCTTGACGAGCAGTTGCGGGCAATTGATTTGATTCTGTCTAAGCTAATGGAAGACACTCATTATAAACAGACTATGAGTGTCCCCTATTCATATGCAGGTGTGTCTGTTTTTAATTATCCTATTCAACCCAATCATAGTCTTATTTGCACTTCTCTGATTGTATTTTCTGTATGCTACTTGTAAATTTTGTATGCTTCATTTATCTCATCTGTGTCCTTTGGATTAAGGTATGCTCATTACTTCGTGGCCATTCTTTTATTTGTCATTTTATATTTAGTAACTTCTTTGGCTTTGGCGTGAATTGTGAAATTGAAGTCAGGTTTGGTCAACTTGAGTTTGAAACTGAGACACTTAGTGACCCTACAATTATTTGAAGTAGAAAACTTATGTTCAACTGGTAGGTGGCCTTGAAGAATCAAACACTAGACCTTGTGGAAACAAACAATAGGTGTCACCACTCAACTAACCCATTGGATTATATATTGGATTTAAGCTATTATCTTGCTTAATAGAAATTATTAGAAAGGGCATTATTTTGCAACTACAAAATTATTTGGACCTCATATATATTTTGGTTTATACCATGAGCTAGTGCTGATATTGATGTCATGTCTGATCCATTATGCCCCTTTCTTTGTTTGTCATTTTTTTCCAAGTCCTTTTCCCTATTATTGCAATATTCTACTTATTTGTTGTCTTCAAGATCAGAAGAATGCGACCTTATATATATAAGCCTTGAAGCAGTTACATCGATGTCAAAATTACTAGAACAGTATTAGTGGAATGAAATAGCTTCGAAATAAATAAATAAATAAATTTAGGAAGATTACGGTATCCTGAATTTGCAGCCTTCAAATTACGGTATCCTGAATTTGTAGCCTTCAAATCTTACTGAATTTTGGTAGGTAAACTTAGGCATTGAAATCAATTAAGAAGGTTCATCTGAAGTCTTGTACTAGATATCAGTTATGGAATTTGTAACGGAAGTTTTCTGTTAATCAATTCTATGGTCTTGTACTTTCAATAATTAATGGTCATTTCTCTCTAGTAACTTTTAGGATGTGTTAGTTGTGATTAATGCGAGTTACCTAATGGTTGCTGAAACTTTGTTCTCTCTGAATTATTAGATGAAATTTATATGTTATTTATGAAATATTTTGATGAAATTTAATTCTTTCAACATGAACTTTTAGGTGTTTTCTTCTCTGGTTTTCATGGTATGCCGTATGGCCATGTGCCTCCTGTTGCACCAATGGCTCAGAATGCAGTAAGCTATGGACCGAATGTGGCTGGAAGGAAGTTTCAAAATAACAAGGTTCATTTGCTTCCATGGTGCTTGAATCTGATTGGTGGTCCCTAATGTTTTTAACTATTTCATTTGTTCACAATCTATTAATTTTGTCATTCTAGTTTGTCAATTTATGATGAGATAGACTCCATGATTATTGATGCATTCAGAAGGACCAGTCCTACATGATTGAGGGCTCACAGGAAGTGGGACCCAGCGGTGAAAGTCCCTGGATCTTATGTTCCTTGTTTAATTGTAATTATTATTATTATTAAGAATGGTGGAAAAGGAATTAAAATTGTGTAGTAGAATATGCATGCTTGTTTCTTTAAGCACTTACCATGACTTGAATGATATAAAACTACTAGGTAGACAACCCCATTGTTTGATGTGATGTATCATCTTAAATCTATTCCATACGAGATGAAGTTCTTTAGGCCTACTTTTTCTAGCTTATCTTCCCAAAGTTGATTTCTGTTTGGTGATAATAAGCAGAAGTATTTAAAGAAGATACGTTGGTAAATGCTTGAAAGACTGTTTGGATCCTAGTTCTTTAAAGGTCCTGGAAAACATACTTGTTTTGACAATGTGTACAAGCATACTGTTTTACCCCTTCTCATTGTGCTTTCCATATGAATGTGTAAAGTTATATCCAGATCATTCTTTCATAAGTTTATTTCAATCTGTTGTGCCTTTTCTGTCTATATTATCACGGCAAGTCTCATCAGATATTTTCTCTGTTGATAACTGATGCTCTCAGGAAAAATGCTTTTATGTTGTTTGATTTATAAAACAAATGCCTTCTTTTGATTTTTAGGAGGATCGGAGTAACTCAGTGACAATTGGTGTGGCGGATGAGCATATCGGTTTGGTTGTTGGTCGTGGTGGAAGGAATATAATGGAAATTAGTCAGGTTTGAGAATCGGAAATTAATATAATTTATTTGATAGTACTATGTGTCCACTAAAGGGAAGCCCTTCAATTTTTCAGGTCAGTGGGGCCAGGATAAAAGTATCAGATAGAGGTGATTTCATGTCTGGAACAACTGATAGGTATAAGAATGAACAAAGAGTTCATGAACCTGTTGTGTTTGGGAATTTTGGTGGAAAACTGGTCTTAGTCTTTGCTATCTTGTTTCTGGTTTGCAGGAAAGTCACTATCTCAGGGTCACAGAGATCAATCCGTGCAGCTGAGTCCATGATAATGCAGAAGGTAGCATATGCTTCTGAGAGGTTGATGGATTAATTTTCATGTGTTGCAACCCATTCTTGCTGAGAATCTTTTGACGGACCTCCTTTTGACTTGCATTCTTAATGATCTAGAAACATGTCAATATGTTTTCTCACAAAATGAGTTGGTGAGAAATCTTAAAAACAGTGATCGGAGTAGAAAGAAAGAAGAACGGAAATTTTTTTTTTTTTTTTTTTTTTTTGGGGCTGAGCTTCGTATAGGGATTCTTCTTAATATACAGTTATATATCTCTGTATAACGAAGTTTCTTCGAGTAGGCTATCATCACTTACTTAATATCAGAGATAGCTTCATTTGTTTCTTATTAAGTTGTAAGTTCTAAACTTAGCAAGTGTCAATTCTATGTTTTTGTAGGATTCTTTGCTTTAGATTAAGCCCGAGGTTTTTGTTGTTAAATGTTGTCTCTCCTGCAGATGATTTGGTGGATAAACTTGATATCATTTGCTTACTCAATGAAATTCTCTATGTTGTCGTGGTGATTATTTTATGCATCTAATAACTGCAAACTATTTCAGTTCTTCTGTATTAAGATGGTTTGATCGATGCAGGTTGTTTGACACGAGCTCTCGTGGTCATCGGTCACCTGACTTGAAACCCTTTTTTTTATCGTATCGATTTTGTGTTTGTTATAAACGAAGATTTTGGATCTCTGGTCTACTGGCTATTGCTTAAAGCCTTTCCTATCTCCTTTTTGGAGAAAATTAGTTTGATATTGTCAAAGATTTATGCAGTTGGAGTAAAACTGAAGCAAGCGTTGGTCCCAAAATTTCTTCTTGCATTTTCTGCAATTAGTTGTATGGGGTTAACACTCTAGTTGATTAAATTCCCAAAAGTTTTGCTTCAAATTCTTATGTGTTTACTGCAAGAGGCTTTGAGATAAATGATAAATGTTAGTTTAAATCTTGGAGGGAGAAAGTAATTGACTGTTTTGGAAGAAAACCAAATGATTTTTTTTTGAAGTTTTCCTCAAATTTCTTCGTTATTTACGATATTAAAAAAAAAAAAAGAGTCGTTTCTCCGCCTGGCTTGTGATTGTTTGTGGACTTAATGATTTTCATGGTTATGGTTGACTCAAAAATTACCTTTACTCACGTAACATTATTATAAGCACTGTTTTAAAAGCCAGACCGAACAGGCCGGTCCAACCGGTTGGACCGTGAATTGGTCATGTGTCCGATTCGAGTCAGTATAAAAACCTGCGCAATAAACTGTTTTAACCCGTCATTAGACTGTCTAAACAGTGCTGGACCGTCGGTCCAATCGAACAGCAAGAAAAAACGGCCCAATCTGAAAAATGAAAAAAACCCCTGATTTCTCACTTTCCCTTTGCGCTGCGCAGTTCCTTCTTCCTCAGTTCCTCTACGCGCAAAAACCTCTGAAAAAATTTGAATGAAATCGCGAAAATCTGAAAAAGATCATAAATCAAAACTCAATCTTGCTGAAATCACAACCATCTCTTGCTGAAATCACAACCATTCGTTGCTGAAATCGATCGCAACTCTAGTCTCTGAAATCATGGCGACACGTTCCTCCCTCGCCGGAAATCGACGACGCGTTTCTCCCTCGTCGAAAATCGACATACATGAACCAGTTCGAAACCAGGTTCTTTTTCTCATTTTAGTTTCTCTATGTGTGTTTGGTTGTTAAGAAAATGTAGGAGAGAAAGAAAGAACTATAATTTTTGAGATAGGTTCATAATATTCGCTTTTTTTTTCTCTCTTTAATGTGGAATTAAGTGGAGAGACAGAATGTTTTAACTGATCTTATATGATATTTTGGAATATTTTTTGGGGTGGTTTTATTTGACTAGTTTTAGATGTTTAATAATGAAGCCTTCGATTTTTTTTTTTTCTGGTAATTTACAGTATAATTTCGAAGGAAGATATGATATGGTTAAGTTCATGAAGTTGGTAGCAGAAGCTGGTCCTTATGTTCATCTACGCATCGGTCCATATGTCTGTGCTGAATGGAACTACGGGTGAGAATTTTTTCTATTCTTTATTCGATAATGGTACTGCATATTTGTAGTTTCGACTAAACATTTAACGTAAAATTTTATATAATTTTCTTTGATTTTCTGGGCAGAGGATTTCCTCTTTGGTTGCATTTTGGACCGGGAATTGAGCTTCGAACTGATAACGAGCCATACAAGGTTTTCACTATGCCTATTTTATGCTTTCAGTTTGTTGATTATTGGTGTTTATTGATTTATCGGTTATTAAATTTCTTGGTTCTCTGTTTCAGGCTGAAATGCAGCGATTTACAACCAAAATTGTTGGTCTGCTGAAGCAGGAGAAACNTCTTTTCTAGGGCTAAGATGTAGCCCAATTTATGAATATGTGTTGACTTGGATTGTTGTTAATTCTTATTGAGCTTTTAATTCTAAGTTTTATTATTGTGCATAATGCTTTCAATTCTCAAGGGCTCGAGAGTTGAATGATATCATGGGTTAGGTTGAGATCGAGAGATGAAACCTGATTTGTCTTAGGTAATAAAACCATAGATTGAGCGAACGCTAGAGATAGGTTATCGCGATCTATGAGGCTCCGGTAAATTCCATAGAGCTTAATGATCTCTTAGCTCCTAAATCCAATTTAGAGATATATTGGGTTGTTGCTTAAGGGTTAATTTGCTAATTGCTCGAGAGAGAGTTAGTGGAATAATAAGGGATTTGGCTTTTAGAATACGTTTGATTAGGTTAACAACAGATGACGATGCATAGGATTAAATTGGTGTGAAATCTATGCCCTAGGTTTAGTCATATTGATTTTTACTTCAAAGTGTTTACAAATTCTGCCTTTATTTAGTACTTAGTTTTTAGTTTTTTATTTTATTTCATTAAAGTCATTCTTAAAGTTTTGTTTTATCAAATAGCAATAGAATAGACTAGTTTGGTACTTGGTAGGTAGTTCCCTTGAGTTTCGACACTCGTTTACTCGAGCTTTATTATTTGCATGATTTCGTACACTTGCGAATAGCCTGTCAAGTTTTTGGCGCCATTGCCGAGGACATTCAAAGTCAATGGGCAAAGATTGAAACCCTATATTGAGAATGGAAATGACAATGAGAGGGTTTCAATTCTTCTTCAGAATCCTAATTGACGACAGAAAAGGAGTCAAGCTTAAGACTTTAAACAAGCGCTTGTTGGGAGGCAACCCAATATTTCGATTCCGTTTGTCTTTATTTTTATTTTTTTTATTTTTTCTTTTTTATGAGTAATGAGGTTTCTGTTTCGTATTTCTTCTTTTCTTTTGTTTTATGTTTTATGTGTTATGTTTTTAATTTTCGGATTATTTTCAGGTGATTGTCAAAATGCAGCAAAGACAAATTAGAAGACCCATTATGCTCGCCGCAGCGGTACACTTTATCATTGCAGCGAGCACGCATGACGAGCACGATGAACCCAATTGTGATTGATCATGCTCGCCGCAGCAACGCATTTTATCGCTGCAGCGAGCATGAATCCAGAGTGACGCCGCGACGATAGCAATGATCACCGCAGTGACGAAGACTATCGCCACAGCGATCGAACCAGGCCACTTAAATTTGCGTTTAAATCAGCTTGTTCTTATTTTCTTTAAAGCAGTTTGCATTGCACACCATACTCTTCCATAGCTGCTCTTCACCAACTTTTCTTCACTCCCACACAATTCAGTCAAACCAATTATATTTGTACTCCATTGCTCACTAACGCATTCCTCCTTCCATCCCATTTCGCAGATTAAAGAAGCAAGAGGAGAATTTGCGAAAAATCAACGTTAGGGTTTCAAAAAGCAAATTGGGGGTTTTTGAAAACTCATCTATTCTAGCTCAATTTAAGGCATATTTAACAGTACAAGGTTCAAGTAAGTGTTTCTTCACCATTCTGCATTATAATTTGGGAAGGTGGAATCCATTGATTTGTTGTTTGTGGGAGTGTGGGTTGATTTGTGTTGATTGTTGAAAATTGGGAGAGATTATTTTGATTGAATCTGTGCATAGTGCTGCTTGATTGACGAAGGGCAGTTGTTGTTTGTGGGAGTGTGCTGATTTTTCATTGAGGATTGAGGGTAGTTTCACTGCGTGTTTGGGTTGAGTTCGAAATACTGATAATGGCACCCAAAAGAAAGCCCGGAAGTGATAGGAGAGAAAAAGGAAAAGGGCAGGCCCCCAGTGATACTCGGTTTGTTAGCCAGGCTGCTCAAGAAAGGTATGAAAATTTTGCAAAGCAATCGGGGCGATTTATTAAAGAACGAGGGCTGGTGTTTACAGAAGCTTTTGAGGGAATAACTGATGTGATTCAAGCTCTGGGTTGGGAGAAATTTTGCAAAGAGCCCCCACGCATGCTGTTGCCTATGTGGTAAAAGAGTTCTATGCCAATGCTCTTGATAGCGTTGACGAGAGAACAATAGTAAGAGATAAAGAGATCGTGTTTAATGCAGCTGCGATTAATGAATTTTATGGGCTGCCGTAAGTTGAGTTCGATGACGATGCCTATGCCGCATTCAAGCAACAAGTGGATTTTGACGCAGTGATAAATTCTTTGACAGAAGGGAGAGCTACGTGGTTTATTGCGGCTGGGGAACACATCCGTTTTGAAAGTAAGTTCTTGGACTCAATTTCGCGCATGTGGTTATATTTTGTATGCTCTCGATTGATGCCCTCCAAGCACATGAGTATTGTTAGTAAAGCTAGGGCGATCTTAATGTATGCTATTCGCCAGAAGATGAGGATGAATGTGGGTGAAATTATCTTTCAAGAGATTACCCATTTGGCAAAGCGTACCAAGACGAGCTTTCATTTTCCTCACCTGATTACTGCATTGTGTACGCAAGCGGAAGTGCCATTAAATGCTGAAGAATTTTTTATTTCGCAAGGAGTGTGTCTTACCAGGCAATTTATGCAAAATTTAACTAGTAGGGGCAGAGTAGAGGTACCCAGGACCAAAGCATCTTCATTGTCGAAGCTTTCCCAAAAAGATCAATTGTTGAAGTTGAATGAAGACATCGAAAAGTTGAAACAGCAACAGAACCGTCAAGCGGCCTGGATGACATGGATGAGTGGGCAAATGAGGGTGCAACATGAGATGCAAAGATTGCAACTTGGTCATGCTAGGATAGCAGCACCGGGGTGTGAATGGACTGATTTTGTGTACCCGACGGCTGAGGAGCACGGTGATGCTCCTGATGAGGATTCTGAGGAGAGTATGGAGGAGTAGATTTTAGTTAATGTTGTCAATGCAGTTTGTTTTGGTCGTTTTTATTTTTCTATTTTGATGTACTTTTATTTTGTCTATTGTGCCTTCTTTGAGTCTTTGTGAACTGTTAGTCTATTTTGTTTTATTGTTTTGTTTTTCTTTGTTCATGCTCTTTTTATCCACTCTTGTATTCTGCATAACTATGATGGCCGACAAGGTCTATTTAGTGGTTTTTCTGTTTTGATAGAACGACTGGTGTATACAACTGGACGACTTTATTTTGTTAAGGAATGCGGTAACGTTTTCTTTCTTTTACTCTTACGCTTAACATTGGGGACAATATTGATTTTATTGGTTGGGGGTAGGAATTTAAGAAACTTAAATTGAACAGAATTTGTTTTTGTATGGATTTAGAGAGCATTTTTATTTATTCTTTCATTTTAGGTTGTGAGTTTTATTTTTGTCTCTTGGATGAAGTCATATGTCTATGATAGGAATGTGATTGCAATAACATAGAACTAATGGAGGACATTAATTTTTACCTTTGCTTACGGATGTGTGTGAATATTAATGACATGAAGTTGAGACCCTAGTGAACTGTGGATTGAAAGTGGTTCAGTCACCTACTTAGAGACGTGTTATGTATGAAGTTTCCATGAACTTTATTGTGATTTCAACAAACTCTAGAACTCATTTGATAATCACTCAAGGTGAAATCCTAGAATTCACATCACTTAGGAAATGATTTAGGTTGTTTTTGGACCAATTGAGCCTTTCAAGCCAACCCTTGTTTCTGTCATCGCTAGTTAGCCCTTTGAGCATTTTTAAACACAATTTAGCCTTGTTTTTCGTTCTTTGAACTTAATGTTTACCCTATCCTGATTTTGAGCCTAAAACACAATCCTACCTGCTTTATCATTAAGAGACTTTATTGTTCTTCAAGCTTATTATGAGTTTTGGTAAGAAAGTGTGGTTGTCACAACCCACGTGTGCGAAGAAATTGGTTGGGGGTTGTGGAGTGTTTGTAAAATCAGTGGGGATGTGCATGTGTGCATGTTTCAGCCTTCTTATTTTTATTAAGTTTAAAAAAAAAAAAAAAAAAATTCTGCCTAGTTTAAGGGTATTTCGGCTGGAAACCAGAACCCGCCTTAAAAACTGCCTAGCAGTACTTGGCGACCTCTGGTATAACAACGCCACATACACCTTAGACGCATCTCCCCCGCCGCATTTATGGTATCAAAAATAAGAAAGATACAAGTTTGAGGGTTGTAAATTAGTGGACATATTGGTTGGTGGTTGAGAAGAAGTGGAGTTCGATTTGATTTTAGAGTTTGCATGAGGAAAACCGAGTTCTCTTACTTTGTTATTCCTATCATTTTCTTGGAACCCATACCCTGGCCTAAAGTTACAACCTTTACAAAGACCTATTGATCCAAGATAATGTGAAATTCTACATTAGTGGAGAGTGATGTGAAAAGTGAGCCTATGGAGTTTGATTCCATGATTCACATATAAGTCATAACCCGAATACTGAGATCAAAATTTTGTTCATGAATGTTGTGCATAACACCATTCGAATTTGTAGACTAATGGTTTGCGGTTGTATGGATGTTCTAGGGTCGATAACGAAAATGAAATTGATGTTTGCATTGTCTGTGAGTTTTATGTGATTTTTAATTAATCTATTTGTTTTGTGTATATGCAATTTTTGAGACATCTTTACGAATTGATCTAAGACTTTTTGTTAGTGTGTTCTTTTTATGTTTATGTTTTTGTTACTTTTGGAGTTTAGGATAAGTTTAGTGTGGATGTTTGTGCGTATCATCGCTGGAAACCCTCACGAGACTACAACTCGTCCAACTAGGGCCACCTAGGGGTTTAAAGTCTTGTTGCATACGCTAAATGTAATCGTGTCATTCTACGAAAGTGATTTAGGATAGTTTAGATTTAGGTTTTTCATTAGTTGTTTTCTTGTCAAGCTTAAAGACTTATTTTATCGCTTGTTTTGCTAGGGACTAGCAAAAATCTGGTTAAGGGTTGTGATAAGAGCTTGAATGTTTATATTTTGTTAGTGATTTAATTGGTTTATTTATGGAAAAATGTGTTTAAAGTGTGGAATTTGGATTATTTCTTT